TAAGGGATTGTTATAATTACTACAAATCTCCAGCATATTTTCAAGTATTCGTGATTAATTTAACATAGATTACGACATGACTACGGGGGATATAATTTCAACAAATCTTCAGCATGTTTTCAAGGATTCGTGATTAATTTTAGATTACGACAAGGCATCATGAAATCAATTATATCCTCAAATCTGTAACATAATTTCAAATAATCATATCATTTCTTAGGAATTTTACACACGGGAAAAATGGTTATTTTTTAAACTGTTCAGCATAATTTCAAGTAATCAAGATACATTTTACGTAGACTTCGGCATATTAGGCAGGCCTTTATAGCTCTCATTCTTAAATGCATTATTTTCTGTTTACATACCATTAATTCTTAATCACTCTTTATACATTTTATAAATCTAATTGGGACATATACGTGAGATGGTCGATGGTTGAATATTCAGTACAAGATTGACCTTTCCCATACATATTCACGCAAATAGATACATTCAATCTCAATATACACCAAATGGAACACAAAACGAGATGATTATCAAAGACAAGGACACAAATACTCGCGGAGGAAGACCCTTCTTCTGCAAGACAGATCCTGCGAGGCCAGGTATCTACATAGCTCTTGCTACGCGCTACACCTTCGCTGGTCCTACCAGTTTATGAAGACGAGCCGAAAACCCTTCACATTATTACTAACATAATTGATGCTCGATGGGATACTTATCCCGCCATCGGCTCTCTCACACTACCCATTCTCGCCAATAAATACATTCACTCTCAACACACACTAGGGACACAAAACTATCAGTAGTATATACAATAAAACAATTCTGTTGCCAACAAAAATCTCAACATGGGATCCAGATTTTCTCTGTCGTGCTCAAGAATGATTTTCATATCGGGTGGCAAACCTACACGCAGTCTCTATATAGAGCCAAGGAGTTGCAGTTTTATTCATATCGAGCAACTCTTCTCTACATTCTGGATACATATGCGGGTTTTGGCCCAAAATTAAGTGTCCTTGTGTCAACTTCGCATGGCCTAATGTTAATGGTGTGAAGGTGACGACTTTCTACGAGTCAAATCATCCAGAGCCACTTCGCCAGTGCTCTTGATGGGCGAGAGCTTCTCTGCCGATCCTGCCCACTGTGTTTTTACTAAATTTTTATCGTCAGAGAGCCCGATCGCGATGGTTAAGTCCAGAGGTTGGGACGTACTGTATATTCCTCCATCATTCTTTATCACGTATGTACATAACTAACTATACTTACAATACCTAGTCCGATTGAGAATAGATTTTTTATTCCGTCATCGACACATTCGCGCATATAAATACAATCTCACGAAACACTTAAAACATCTATCATTATATACGGCAATAGGACCTATCCAAAGATCTATATACAGAATAACCCCCGTTTCCTGAGGATGACCCCCCCCCTCTTCTACGTAAAGATCCTTTAAGGGCTTACGGCTTCTTTGACGACCCAGCACACCGACCCTGCCAATTTCTTTTAGTCGTGTATTTTAATGCATTTTTAGCGTCATAGGGCCATATCGTGGTGATTAAGTAGCACGACCTGCACATTCAGTATAAAAAAAAGTTAATCTTTATTATTATAAGTACAATAGGGTTAAAAATTAGACAAAAGTATATAATTTTTGTTTTATATATTGGTAAAGCTAAAGGTAAAAACAAAAGGGTAAATGAAAAATTATGCGAGTTTGCGAATTTTTCGTCGGGAACTATCAAGGACGATCAAACTGCTGACAAACGACGAACAACGTCTGACAACAACACTGAAGGTTAAAAGGATTTCGATGTAAAGTTGTATATTTGCAAACGTTGTCGACTAGAAAAATTTCAACGATTTTCGGCAAAATTAAAAATTTAAAAGTCAAAAATATTTTGTGTTATTAAGTTAAAAACCGTTAACACCTTCACTGCGGGTGTCGAACACCTATCGAAAAAGCACCCCTTACAGTAGTCGACTTCGTTTTTGTTCATTTTAAAAGTTTGTTCATTCCATACCATTCTAGCCTAACGGAAAGGTTCAAGTTATTTTTTGTAAATGATGGACTCACTCACAGATTTGTTGTTTGCAACCAACGATGATTTGCAGTAGAACCATCATTTACAAAAAGTGAGTGTACATACTTCACCATTTCTACTTAGTATTAATCTATTTATGTTTTAGTGGTCAACTGACCAAGTTACTTTTTTCAATTAATTATTCCTTTTATGCAATGTTTTGGTTGAGATGGAAAAGCCAGTGTCACGAGCGGGATTCGAACTCACGACCTTCGGCTCAATACGCCGCTGCTCTGTTACTTGACCTATCGTGACTTTGATCGAAGCTCAAGTAGCAGAGCAGCGGCGTATTAAGCCGAAGGTCGTGGGTTCGAATCCCGCTCGTGACACTGTTTTTTTTTTAATCTCAACCAGGACCTTGCATAAAAGGAATAATTAATTTCTATTAAGGTTCAAGTTAAGTGTTTTCTCCTCACCGACGTTATCGAAAATTTCTACTTATTCTAAATAGCAGGATTTTGCTCTAACTAATCAATAAATCACTTTTTTTTTGTTTAATGTTCGATATTATTTATCATCATAACCATATAAATATTCCTAACAATTATTTTAAAAATTAGAAAAAATAAATTTTAATTAAAACAATTATTTCCGGTTTTCAATGATTTTTATACGTCTTTATGCTTGAATTAGCTTTAAACGAAAATGTGCCATTTATAGTTTTATAACATGTAAAATTCTTTTATTCATTAAAATAAACCATTTTTATTGTTTTTGACGCGTTTACAGGTTATTTTTAGGTTTAATAGTCCTCCAAACGTAATAATAATTACCATATGGATATAACACATCCTAATCTTAAAAAAAATGTTTTACCTACATATTGAGTTTTGGGAGAACAATAAAATTTTATGATTATAAAACCACCTTATTAGATAGAGAAGATAGGGCCACCTTAATCTACAAACTTGCAATGAAGTGTGAACCATGGCCTCAGTGTGAGAGGCGTTTGATCTCTGAATAAAAAAAAAATTTATGGACTTTATAAATTCAATTGATATAACTAAATAAATAAGTAATAATTATCTTGAACATTTTAACTGTCAATATATAAATATATTTAAAATTGTTAAACATAATAACATAATACAATGTAAATGTCAAATAACCTGTAATCAGCATGGGAGCAGGTTGAAAATAAAATACCTGTTCATAGGGTTACTATGGACAGGATGACGGCTCCAAAACCGAGAAGAGTCCGGGTGCTGGGGTCTTTGGGATGAACCCCAAGACCGAACTGACGGTAAACCTAGGCAAGTATGCTACAGTTTTCTAGTCTGAAATCATAGCGATTGAACAATGTGCCAGAGAAATAAAAAGGCTAGGAATACATTCCCGGAAGATAGCCATTTTCTCTGATAGTCAGGTAGCTCTCAGGGCCTTAGCCTCATGGAGGCCCTGACGGAAGACAGCGACACTAATGACTTGACCCTGGCATGGGTCCCTGGCCATTCGGGGCATAGAGGCAACAAAAAGGTTTACATGTTGGCCAAAATGGGAGCCAACATCGACTCTTGGGCCCAGAACCCTACTGCGGCCTAGCAGCCTGCCACAAAAGAGGATACATCTTAGAATGGATCCTTAATGAGTCCAAAACCTGATGGAACTATACCACAGGTATGAGGCACGCGAAGAGATTCAAAGAGAAGGACCATCCGCAAAACATACAAAAGAATTACTGGAAGGCAACCGCAACCGAACCAGGATTCTGGTTGGACTTCTGACAGGGCACTGCCACTTAAGAAAGAACATGCACCGGATAGGAGTACAGACAGAAGAAACACTGCACAGATACTGCCAAGAAGAGGAGGAGACCGCAGAACACATTTTATGTTTTTGTAAAGGTCTATGTAGGTGCAGGTTCTTGCAACTAGAACAAGAAAAGCCACGAGCAAGATCCTACACCAAGGAACCGCTGGCAAAGATGTGGAGGCTGGTTAATAGCCTGCAGGTGGCCAGCGCGAATTAAAAATAACAGCGGAGCACAATAGATCTAGTCAAGTCGAGGTACAGTAGGCTTTGTGTCCGCAGACAGGATAAAAAAAAGCCTCACCTTCCATATTATCCACACCTCGTTTTACTTTCACAAAATATTAATGATCAAAAGTCGTTACAGAATTTGTTAATAATAAACTCAAAAATTATTTTCAGAGTATGTTGAGAAGTTGCAATCACATAGGGAGAAGTGTATTGAGTGAGATGGAGTTTTAATTAATAAAAAATATTATAATATAAATTCACTCGTTTTCGTGGTCCGCTTGACCAATTAATATCTTTCAATTAATTAAGGTTTTTAGTTGAGATAAAAAGTTAGTGTCACCAGCCGGATTCGAACCCATGACCTTCGGCTAGATACGCCGCTGCTTTACCACTTGAGCTATCATGACTTCGATCCACGCCGACACTTACTTCCCATCCCAACTCCAGGTATTGAATTTTCCCTCCTTTTTGCCATTTTTCAAATGTCGTGTAATCTATTTGATTCTCGGCGACAAATGAATGGAGAGCTTTAGTGAAGTGGGTTCAAATCCCGCTCGTGACGCTGACTTTTTTTATCTCAATTTAATTAATTGAAAGATATTATAAATATATAATATATATAAATATTATAAATTTTAATTAAAAAATATTTAAAATCATTTGTGTTTTTATATTATAACTAAATTAAATCGATAAAAGATCGGGGGAAAGTCATTACATGTACAAAGAAGTTAAAAAGAAAAGTATTAAAATGAAAAAAAAAATATCAGCACAGAAAAAGACAAATGGCGACTTAGGCAACCCAGCGAATGTGTTAATTAATGTCACCACTGATGATGGCGTCAATAAAAAAATCATCGATAATATTAATACGAAAAAGATGAAATGAGTCGATTTAATTGGTTGAATCGATTGTTTTGATCGGTTGATATCGATTTATTTCGTCGTATTTACAACTAGCAAGCAGGAAAAGAATCGGGGAAAAAGTAGACCCTTTTCTAGCTGTCTGTGGCTGGCCTATGCTTAATAAAAAAGTACAAAGACGAGTGGACGACGTCGCTCCTTCCGTCATCATCTGACCGTCTGTGAATCGGCTTTTACATCGGAATCCGCCACTCGGCCAGGGGCAGACGAGCTCATTTATCGCTGACGGTTATTATCGCGTTTTTGATGATGTGTCAATTATAAAGTGATGAATATAAAATTTGTGATTTCAGTTCCAGACTAGTTCGCCCGTCGATCGGCGCCTCTGAAAAAAACACACCAGACCTCACCAAAAATTCGCCCGAAATGTTGCGTTTTCTCGCAATAGTTTTCCTCTTTGAAATCGCTTTGCACGGACAAGGGTCCGCTGCTTCGGAAGGTTAGTTTTTATTTATATATCAAATTTACTCGATTGTATTTTTGAATTTCATCAAATTGGGTCAAAATTACTGCACCCTATGAAAGTTTGTCTTATTTTCGCAGGTGCTTGTTACGTAAACAAAACTAAATCCTCAAATCTAATCTATGATTTATTATAATAAATACTTTTAACTATCTTTTATACAAAACGTTTTAATTTATCTTGAATTTTATAAGAGTGAGGACCTGCGAAATTAATATGTACGAACTAAATTTTTGTCAATTTTTGAATTTAAACTTGGGCGAAGTGTGGCCCAAACAGCGCATAACATCAGTACAGTTTGGGGGAAGAAAGCGTGCACGGTGCAGTGACGGTTTCATAGAGTTCTCCTTGGGAGATTTGATCTCAAAGACAGTAGGGTGACGACATTCAAAACATTTGGAGTAAATTCACATAAGACAGTAGGGGAAATTGCGAAAGAGCTTAGTGTTGACCACTCAACCGTTGTTCGCCATCTGGAGCAAATTATAAAGTAAAGAAGCTCGATGTGTGGGTACCACACGAACTAACCAAAGCCCAAAGGAATCGATGCTTTGAAATTTGTACGTCTCTTCAATCACATGTGATGATATATGAATTTTGTACGATAACAGTATAGGTGAGTGGCTGGTCAAGGAAGCCAAAACCAAATCAGCACCCAAAAATAGTTATGGTGACTGTTTGGTTGTGTACTGCTGAAGTTGTGCACTGTAATTTCCAGAAATATTTCCAAGAAATTGACAAAATGCAATGGAAACTGCAATTGAGAAACCTCAAAGGGCCGGTTCTTGTTCATGGTAATGCCAGGCCACACATCACAATGCCAACCCTGCGAAAATTTAAGGACTTGGGATATGAAAACATACCACACCCTACATATTCATCCTACCTTCCGCTTACAGCCTTCCAATTTTTTAGACATTTTGATCACTTCTTCAGTGATAAAATTTTTAGAGAACGTGGTGAACAGAAAAACTTTCCAAGACTTTATTGTGGATCTAAATAAAGATTGTTAAGTCAGTTAAGCGCTGATTTCACATTGGCAAAGATGTACACATTGTGATGGAAAATGTTTCAAATAAATATTTATTGGGGGCAGAGCTCCCTAGTACTTCTTGAACATAAATTTAAAATTTCTAAATACACTGATGGACAAAATTAACGCACCGCCCTTAAATTTTTATGTATTTAGATTTATTTGTATTTTGCTTACCAAAAACATACCAACAAAGTTTGGTTGTGGAGGTCCGAAGTCGTCGAATGTAATGTACAAAATGCTGCAAGTGCCTTTAATCAGTAAAATAGGTTTGGTTGTAAAAATAAGACATTTAAGAAGGAAAAGAACAAAAATAAAAAGTAATAAATAAAAAATAAAAATGTAAGAAAAAACTTTTTTATCCCTTTTAATACTGAGTATTTCCACCTCTGGCATGAATCACGTACGTTAAACTCCTTTGCATTCCTTGCAACAGATTTCTGGTACAATCCTGAGGAATTCTTTCCCGTTCATCAAGAACAGCGATTTCTACCTCTTTTAGGATGTTAGGAGCTGGGTTTCTCCATTGTATTCATCGCTTAAGTTGGTCCCAAATGTTTTCAATTGAGTTCCAATCTGGACTTTGAGCTGCCACACTAAGCACTCAACACCAACCTCATTATTCTGCAATAGCAAGAATCTCTCACCAATGTGGGGGGGGGCAAATGTTCTTATGTTATTTTAATGTTGTTCTGATTATGCCTTGTAAGTACCCCTGTGAAGTTAGAGATCTTCCTTGCACAACAACCAATTTGGTGTGGCCGTCCAAGGAAATCCACTCCAGAACATCAATGACCCACCGTGGAATGCCACCTGAGGAACCATACAGCATATGCCATGCCATACTTTTCTTCTGAATGTCTCTATATGAAATTACGCCAATCTGAAGATTTGAGGCCAACTCTCACCTCATCTGTAAAAAGAACTCGTTTCCAATGTCCAATTCACATGTTCCTGTCGAATTGCATCCATTTTTTTGAGCTGTTGTAATAAGAGGTCGACAGGCCAGGTGCCAGGCCCTGAGGCTATTTTCATTGAACTTTCTTCTTACAGTCCTGGAAGAAATTTAAACATTTTGGGGTTGTATTATCAGATTTCTTATCTCAAGACCCGTAATACTGCAGTTTTGTAGAGCCTGATGACAGATTAATCTATTGTCTCTCGCATCTGTAGATCTAGATCCCTGTTGTGGTAGTGAGAAGCCGTTTCTCTGAAGCACCAAAGAAGCCTTCCTATTGTAGAGTGATTTCCACTCCATTTCTTGCAAACTTATTGCTGGTTGTATCCTTCTTCTAATAATGTTATGACCCTGACACTGTCATTCACACTCAAATGGCTGACTGGAGCTATTAGAAAAGGTTTGAGAATAAGAATAATATCAAATGAAACCAACGAAGGAAAAAGAAGGTGTAGCAGAATAGAAAGGCATAATGCAACATTTTGTGCAAATGGGATTTATCAGTACAAAAATAAAGTATGTAAACAAAGCATTATTTACTGATTATTGTGATTACGATAGCTCTAATTACCTGTGACTAATATGGGAAGATAATGAATTTAATTTTAAACTAAATAAATGGAGTGGTGCATTTAATTTGTCCATTAGTGTATATATATGTCAGCTCAGTTTAATTAATTTTTATTTTTTGCACAGAACAATTCCCTCATCAAAATAGTGAGTATCATTATTACATTACAGATTATATACATTAAAAAAATAAAGTTTTTAAAATCTCTTGATGGTTTTTTTAGTAACGATCCAGCCTATTATTGACCCGACAACTACACTTTCACCTTCATCACCCACCACCACCACTACTATTCCACCCACCACTAACACACCCATCACTTCTCCAACCACAAAACCTCCAACCACAAAACCTCCAACCACAAAACCTCCAACCACCACTCCTCCAACCACCACTCCTCCAACCACCACTCCACCAACCACCACTCCCCCCCATACAACTACACCTAATACAACTACCATAAAACCTGAACCATCCACAACTCCTTCACCTTCACATCCTTCGGATAGAAAATTTGATGCCTTCAGTTTTCTTGGTAAGTACAACATCCATTTTATATTAATTGAATTTTTGTTACGGCATTGTGTTCCCGATATATAGTGTTTAACCTTTATTACAAAACATGTTAAGACATTTAACTGAACAGCATTAGCATAAAAATAATACAATTATATAAACAATTAATTTCTTCTTTTTCCTTCATTGTTTCCATGATTGGATTGTTGTATTATACATATTGAGAATTTTTGGTTTGTTTTAGAAAAAATTATCAACACTTGTGAAAGGTACATTTTGACACTTGTGAATTTTTAGAAATCATTCATTCCTACAATAAATTTTTTCACGCCTTAAATAAAATTTTGCTAAAGAAATACTTTTTTAAATTTTGGGCGTGCTGTTCTCTCTCCCTGGGGAAGGTCAGGGTAGGCAAACCAGCAATATATATTTTATAGTTATATGAACCCTTGGGGTGCAAAAAATCCCATTTGTAAGTATGTTGGGTTTGAATGCAGGGCCATTGGTTTCGAACCGGGGACCTTTACCTTACAGTGATGAGTGCTGTTGCAATACCTAAACAGTTGCGGCCACCGACTACCCTTATCTATTGTTTACCCACACATTATTTATGCCTGTCTGTATATTATGAAAAAATTGACTAATTGTACATTTCGGATTATTTACGGTTAATAAAAAAATGTACCAAGTAAAGAACCGCAAGGGAGCAAAAGGCCAAAAAGATGTCCTTGATTACCTTCAAATGAAAGTATTTTTGAGAATGAAAGTGAAATGTATTACACAATAATATGATAAAAACTTATCTATTATGGGGGATTTTTTTTCTCATAAAAAATGTGCAAACAATCAAATCAACATTTTTCACACTACTGTTGACAAAAAGATACTAAAGACCTGTGAAACTGACTCAATTTGGAAATAACCCAATGCCCTACAACAAGCTTGGAAAAGAGGAGTTTTTCTAGAAGAGGTGTGCCATTCTGGAACGACGACTGTAAATTACATGTTAAATTGTGGGATTTCTCTGTTAACAATCATCCTAGTGTACCTATCCTCGTGTTGTTCTGCCATCTTCTGTTTCACTTTCATTAAATTATCTTTGGTTTTAAAATCTTATAATCTTATGTCATTGTGCACAAAGGTTGCTGAAATAGTTCATTAGTAATTGGTGTTGATAATTTCTTTTAAAACAAAAAGTATAAAATTGCATTGTCGGTTTTCAAGAAATTTATCTAGAAATTAACCACTTGACTGTGACTTTGATTGCCCATACCACAAACTTCACACTTCGATTTCCAATTTTTGTTACAGAATTTTAGTTATAATTGGAATCATAATGGAAATCGAAGTGAGAAGTTTGTGGCATATGGGATCAAAATCATAGAAGCTCAATAGTTAGGGCATTAGAGTATTGATCTAAAGATCGTGGATTTGAATCCCCACCTGTGACACAAATTTTTCATTTCAAAAAATCGTGTATAATAAATTTAAAAAAAAATTGTGTATGTATTTAAAGTTAGATGTTTGATGCTATATGATGTCTTACTAAGATATTAAACATGTAATTCACAAAGCTCAAGTAAAACTTAGCTTATTTTTATAAAATGATTTCTCTATTTATAAATTAAGATCGAAATATTATTTTATAAACAAATCAGGTGATATGATTATCTAATACGCTTTGTTTTACTAGGTGGTTTCTGCTTAGCCCTTGGATTGGTGGCTATCGGATTTTTAGGCTGGAAATTCTACGTAAGCAGGCATGATAGTGTGTACCACACCTTGTAAATGGTTTATATGCAGCCACTACTTATGCAAACAAAAATAAAAAAAAAAAAAGGAAAAGAAAAAAAGAAATTTAGCCCCGTCCATGTTTCTTTATTCTTTATATAATTTTTTTAAAAGTCGATTCCTGTCAAATATGGAAAATTGTTTTAACTTTTTAAATCGAATTGGATGCATGCATGAATAAAATTATTTTGCCATTATAATAGATTTGAATGCAATAATCTTGACGAGGTTAATAAGCATAGTAGAATTATATAAAATCAATAAAAATTAGTGCAGATATTTGCGTACTATTTTCGTCGGTAAAAATTGACTAGTAATATACATTATAAAAATTATTTTAGTTCTAAATCGTGAAAGTTTTTTTTTGTTTTTATTGTAAGGTGCCTATGTTATTATAAAGGTATCTGTGATAATTTCAATTTTTGGCTACTTTTACAGTTACAGTACAGATTACAGTTTTAATATCATTTACAGGAGTATGGTGTGTGCTTTTATCAGTAAATTAATGTTTTGTCATGTTGATGTTTACATATTTGCAAACATAAATAAATAACATTCACTTAATTAAACACTTTTGTATAAAAATAAATTGATCACTACTTCATTGTGTGTAAAAGGAGGCTTTTATTTTTAATTATTATATGTAGTAATAATAATACATTGCATTACATGTAAATATTCAAGATGTTTTTTTGTTGTCTATTATGGCTTAGGCATATGAGAACAGTTATAAAAATAAGCAAAAAGAAGTATTTTTGCAATTAATTAATATGCATTATGTTAAAAATGTAATCTCATGTCTTAATAAATTTGTAAAGCTGTTGTGTGTTTGTTATTTTATTTGTTAATCATGGAGAAATGTTTGTGGATATTTTCGATTATGAAAGATTTTAAATATTGAAATGTAACTTTCAATACGTAGCACTACAAATTGACCATTTGTCCTTTGCCAAAGTAGTTATCACCGAGATGCTGATAGGAAAAGGTGATTCACAAAATAGGAATGACATTTAGATAGCATATATGAAACACATTATCTTTGAAACATGAGTTTTATATTGGTTGTTTCTTACCATCCTATCACACAAAGTTTATTCGAAATAATTTGACGTTAAGCCTGGATTGCGGCATTGTAACTGTAGATAAATTGCAAGGAAAAAAATTAATAGCATTCTGGAGTTCCTTATTCAGTCAGCTATATGATGAGGGTTTACCAGTACCTCTCCCTGCAGAGTGATGGTGAAGAAGACCACTGATCACTGAAGCAGAACAGGATTAATACATTATATAACAAAATGATTATGTACAATTTACACTGAATAGATGTCTGGAAGGAGGATCAACAAACTTGGTTTTCTTCCCACTTTTCAATGGCTAGTCCTTGATGAAGTGGAGCTGGGGCCAACTCCACTTTAAGAGGGCTTATTGTGGAATCTGGAACATTTGCTGGCAATTAATTTATCTACAAAGGGTATTTTGAGGACAATGTGGAGGGTGGTGTTGTAGTCAATATTTAACTATGATCCTGAAGATTTTGGATATTTAGTGATCTCCATAGGTCTTGTCCATATGTCCAAATTGATTTCAGTAGAGTTCTGTGGAAAAGTTAGATTTGCTTCCTAGAAGTTTACAGAGTAGTCCGAAGTGTCTTTTTATTTGTGGGTTGTTTCCAGGTGAAGATAGAACTCAAAATCAACAAGTACTGTATGCAGTTTAAGAATATGAGGAGTTACTGGCCCCAACTACACTTTAAGAGAGGTTATTGTGGAATCTTGAAAATTTGTGGGCAATTACTTTATCTTCAAAGAGTATTTTGTGGTTATTGTAGAGGAATCCATTGGAGACAGTACATTAATTGATTCTGAGGATTTTGGACCGATGGACTGTTAAGTTGGATGTTGGTATGCATAGTGATCTTCATAGGATTAGCCATATGTCCGAATTGATTTCAGTACTGTTTTGTGGAAAAGTTAGATTTGCTTCCTAGAAGTTTACAGAGTAGTCTGAAGTGTCTTTTTATTTGTGGCTTGTTTCCAGGTGAAGATAGAACTCAAAGCAGTGTATGCAGTTTATGTTGTCTGGAACAATAAAATGAGCAGTAACATGAACAATACTTTTAAGCATAAAAGGAGCAGTACACAAACAGGTGTCGGCGGAATAACTAACAAAGTAACAACTTCCTTCTGCTACAGTTACCGGTGTTACCAACGTTCATTTTATACATTTATCTGCCAATAGTTTAGGAATGTGAGGAGTTACTGGGGCCAACTACACTTTAAGAGAGGTTAATGTGGAATCTGGAAAATTAGTGGGCAATTACTTTATCTTCAAAGTGTATTTTGAGGTTATTGTAGAGGAAGGCATTGGAGACAGTATGTTAACTAATTCTGAGTATTTTGGACTGAAAGGATTGTATATGTTGGATGTTGGTATGCATAGTGATCTTCATAGGACTAGTCCATATGTCCAAATTGATTTCAGTACTGTTTTGTGGAAAAGTTAGATTTGCTTCCTAGAAGTTTACAGAGTAGTCTGAAGTGTCTTTTTATTTGTGTCTTGTTTCCAGGTGAAGATAGAACTGAAGGTAGCTAACTTTTTACCTCAATTTGTTTCAAAAGCGATAATGGCTTTTACTGTAAGTTATATACAATACTGTTCCTTTGCCATCTGATCTGCAAGCTCGTTGCCAATGGTACACGCATGCGCTTTAGTCCAATTGAATTGAACTGTCCAAAACACAACTTTCTGAAGGTGGTGTAGTATTTTTCTACTTTCTTCGGCAAGCTCTGTTCTTATTGTAGATGTTTATAATGTTAAGGGATATGTCTCAGTTTTAATGGTTACTTTTTCGAAGGTATACCCTATTGTATATGGTGAACAAAGGGAACCTAGGAAGGTAGAACGTTGGCATACTATTGCTTGAATCTTAAGTACAAAAAAATATGGCCAAATCGCTAACGCTTTGTGTCGACCCCCCCTCCCGTTGGTGCTGTGCGAAATCCGGTCCGCATAGTTTCGCATGCTATTTGTCACGTGGCATAAGATTTGGAAACGGATTCAGGGAATCATTAATTTAATCAAAGCCCATAATCCAGGTGGCCGATGTCACAGCGGTGAAGCGGAGATCATTTGTTAGGTGTTCGAAGCAGAAGGGCTCCTGTTGGTCTTAAAGGGTGATTAATGCTCGGCCGTGACAAGAGAGAATATGCGTTTGATTCAAATCACATCTCGTTTTGTCGCTTTGTCATAATTATTTAGTAAACGGGGCCTTTAAGAAATCAATTGGGTATATTTTCGTACGTCCTCTATTTATTGTATGATTGAACTATCTGATTATTCAGGAGGCGGGACAAATAATTAAAATAAAAACAAAATAGCGTTGGGTAGCAAACAAAGTAAAGTAAATAAAAATGAAAAACTTACCCTGATAGTAGTATGCTATTCATGAGCAGGAGAGCAAAGGAGACGAGAATTAGAGGAAGGCGGTTTCCTGGGAGTTAAGCCTTCTCAAAATATTAAAAAATAAAAAGCGGGTGGTTGAAAAGTGTTTTTTTACAAAATGCCAGTCAGGAAAATAGGAGTTACCGTGCATGGACCAAGAAGCTGTTTAACGCCTGTCTAACTCGACTCTTTTATCACGTCCCATAAGTGTTCATGAAGCACACACTAAGCCAATCCCGGCCAATGAAAGACAATCCATATCGGGTTGAACATTGGTTGCCAGCATATTAGCCATCCAAGGCTCATCCTCATCAAACCAACGGGTTGGGGCCAAGGGATTCGGGCATTTGGAATCGCAGTTGGTTCTAAAAACAATCAAAATTTGTTGACTTCAGCAACACTTCCAGTTTTGTTTTCTTCTTTTTGCCTTTCATCTTATGTAAAGATTCATTTTCTTTTTCACATCGTTCACACTACCCCATAAAAGCTCACTTATTAACCTCGAAGCGCTTAATCTTTTCAATTAGTTTTATTTGTTTACAGTTCGTAGTATCCCATAAACATTCCTGTTCAGGATAAAATCCGAACAGTTTTAGTGCAGTCTCATTCCATTCCATAGTCCAGCGTTTTGCAGCACAAGAGGAATGAACCAACGAACGATCGAGCCGGCGTTAGGGATGGTTAGGGATGGACTAAACTAACTAAGACACTAGGAGGTCTTTAGGCCGACCCAACGTAAAATCTTTGAAAGTTACCGCCAGCAGTCCAAACCGCGACCAAGGCCTACTGCTTCGTTGGTAATGATTTGCCTCCCGTACACATTAAGCAAATCACGGCCAACGAAGCGGTTGGTTGCCAAGATTTGCTTAACTTATACGCACCTTAAGGAGAATACTGGCAAATTCATTATTTGGCAATCTCTACATCCTCCAAATAATGGGAGACAACTTAAGGTACTTACGGGCGAGAGTTACCATGCATTAATACTAACTTGGCCCCAATAAATGGATCGAATGGGACCACATCTTCAGAAGAATTTCCTCAACGTACCTTAGTGCCGTCAAAGATACATTCTGCAAAATAATCAGTTCGGTGGGGTATGGACGTTGGTTACCCCCCATACCCATAACTGATTGCCTTTGAGACGTCTGTGATTCACGGATGGCACATGAAGCAAAACGTTCTTCACGTATTCTTCAAACTGAATTGCAACGAACCAAACCGGCTCTCATCAGTGATGGAACAGATCCCCATTGTTGAGATGCCGACTTGCGAATAGTCGCCTTTTTACCCGCTGCCTCAATAGTAGTAAAGAACCTGATAAGAACGACTGGGACTGGGCTATTCTCACAAAGCCTTCTGATGACTTTCTGGAACATAACGACGGTTTGGAGTTGACTATTTGTCAAGGAAGCCGTTAAATGACATTTCCGTAATGCGGTAAGAGCAATAAAGGGTACGTTTCTAGCCGTTGTACATCGCAGACGACCACTACGTTCTCTTCGATCGAGACTTCCCCTAAACCGCTGTAGACCATCGTGGATGGTAGAGCGCGATACACCCAGGACTTGGGATATGTAACGGTCGCTTCGACCGTCGTTGGCCAAAGCATTTGACAATCTTCTCGAATTAACGTAAATTTTTAACCTTGAAGTATCAGCATAGCAATGACAGTAAACAAAATTGAAAAAGTTCAGTTAAAATAATTTTTTTATCGGCTCTTAGAACCAATTGGCAAGATCCAAAACTGACTGTATCGTATATTAAGATAAACGAACTTCAAGGAGGCAGGAAAAAGGCATCACAAAAGGACAACCAAAATAACTAAAGGAAAATATCTTCCTATTACTATTTTTACATATTTTATAATAAAGTTTTTAAAAAAATTGAAAACGTAGTCATATCGTGATGTTTTGTTATAATATAAAATTGTTGAGGACTCCGAGGTACCTGTAGCTTGTTGGATGATAAACTAGCGAGAGAGACAGATCTTATAAGAAAGTTACAAATTTATCTGTTAGTTACCTCAATTACAATTGAAATTATCTGTAAAACGTAGAAAAGTTTACTGCTGCTTTGTTGATTTTAAGTCGGTGTTCGATTCGCCAAGCAGAATGGCCATTTTCTATAAACTGTATAATTATGGGATCTCCAGTAAGTTTATCGGGGTATTAAAGTCGTTGTATAGCGGGACGGAGAGTGCTGTGTGGTGTAGGGGAGAGGTCACAACTACCTTTGAAACTAGAGTAGGTGTAAGGCAGGGCTGTCTGCTTTCCCCTCTT